TTCCAGGATTGAATTCCATTATAAGAATAACAGACGTTTCTTTCATTTACTCGGAAATATTTTGCGGTAAAAATGGTAGGAATGTGCCAGTACTTATCGCCAGCAGATGTATTTTTTCTGTGTAAACAGTTACTGTTACTTCTACATTCTAAATTTACGTAAGTCTGTAGGTACCATGAGTGCATAAAGATCCATAAACGATTAAATACGCTGCATCGTACATATTTCGATATTGACCCTGTTGCGTTCCTCGGTTTAAGTTTACAGTTAAGATATTCGGGACAAAAGTGTCCACAAAGTGTGAAATTAGTATTTTCAATTTTATAATTTGAATCAAAGCGTGAAGGAAATATCTAAGTACGCTATTATTATGCTGGTTATATTATGTTTCGTTGCAAAATGCACGCTGTATTATACTTAAAATATTTATTTATTTGACATTATTTAACATTTGTACATACGACAGATTTCGAATCCAACTAACTCAAATAATTGACACGTTTGACAGTAATAAAACAATTCTAGTCATTTTATATTACTTACCTATTCATTCGACTTTATCATCAGTCATGATATCGAAGTATCTCACCGTGCTGATTGATTTCTGTCATTTAATCGCATCTTATTCACTTCCGGTCAAAAATGTCCCGGAAACTGCAGCAGGATTAACCCTTTGCACTCGAAGCCATTTTAACTGTATATCATAAATAAATTATTTGACTTACAGTATTTCCATTTTATACGACAAAATTGCATTTTATGCATATGAAATTGCGTCTTGTGGTGATCCGTACAACAGTTACACTGTTAGCAATTTTTAAAAATCTAAACTTTCTTAGTAAAAAAGTTATCTTGGAACGTGATCTAACAATTTTAGTGGCGCCTGAGAGTCATCACTCGAGTGCAAAGGGTTAAAGAAGCACTCAACAAAGAAATTTTCGTATCACAAAAAAACAGAAACTCATCTGTTTTTTTTTTTTATTAGTCTAGTCAATGTAATAATTTCGGTTAGAAAACTTCCAAGCATTTTCTAATTTCGATTTCACGAAACAAATTCTGCGAAGTGTGAATCACTTGAGCCGTTTATTTTGAAAGTGGCACAAGTCACTTTACCGTGATGAAAAGTGGTGATTTTTTAAATGTTCACACGAAATTATTTATACTGAGAAAAATATCAGTATCTTGAGGTAACAAATACAAGTAAATCTTCTCGAAAGTTAGCATCCATATTTTCAAACGTGTTAAAACGCAAACCCTTAAATATATCGACTTAAAAACAAAGCGACTTAAAACAAACGACGCCACTTTCAAAATAAACGGCTCGCTTCTTTCGCGACGCTCGATTTTTCCGGCGACAAAGGTCGAACGAAAAACGCCCACTTTCTCTAGTACATATGTACATACTTAAGCTCTACGAACTCGCGGAGACGCGACAACAAGCGCACGAAGTCGAAACGTGCGTTGTCAATGGCCATTAAGCAAGGATAAAAATGGCGCTTGCCCAACCGGCCGGCGATAAACCGGCGTCGCATGATCGAACGTTAACGGAGTTAAAGGGCAGCCTGATATTTCACGACGATGTTATCTCCGATCGCGGCGCATATGATGCTTTCACGAAAAGGAGGGTAGGAAGGCAGGCGTATCGAAGAAAATCGAGAGGAGAGAGAGGGGCCCGTTATAATAACTCGTTGCCACAGGGTTTACCGGTGACATAACTCCGATTCCGTTCGAGAACCGACGCGGCGGTCTCTCGCGATCGAACAATCAACGGCGTGCTAATTAGACGAGGATGAGGAAAGGATAGACTTCGTCATCCTTGCTGAAACAAAAACGCGGAGCGGTCTTTCCGGTGCGATGCCGGGAACGATCTAGACAACGAAGAATGGCGTGGAAACGTTTCGAGCGAAAAAGGGTGAACGATGGTGGCCGCGGAGGGTGGGAGAGGGCGGTGTGGGAGGGACGCAACACTTAACGAATTTATGTTATTCGTACTTTTAATGTTTTTTACGACGCGACACGAGGCTCGCGAGGAGATAGCAGACAGCATAACAGGATCTTATGTCAACGACGGTGGTCCCAGCGCCACGAGGTTGTAATATGTAGATATTGCCCACCACGAGAAACCCCATAAGTTCCGCGGGGACCACTTACGGGAAAAAGGGGGAATTCCTTCTCCTCCGGCCTGTTCTCTCCTCCACGTTCGCCAGCTATATAGACGTCTCGAGACCGACTCGTGGCGTCTGCGCTTCCTTTCTTCTCTTTTTCCCCCCTTGTTCTCTCTCTCTCTCTCTCTCTCTCTCTCTCTCTCTCTCTCTCTCTCTACCCCGTCTCGCGATCCTTGTCCGCGCGTCTCCCTCTTCTTCGTTGCCTCTGCTCCTTACCTTTCGGTTTCTACCGGTGATCTCGAACCGTCCGAGAAAATTCGACCGCGTTCTTCTCCGTTCGACGAGCGCTCGCGTGTCTCTCCGCTGCGCCGTCTCTCGCGATTGTTCCCAAACAACGTTCGCGAGCCGTTTAGCGCTTTGTCTCCTCGGGGGAACTCCGATGCGCCGACTGGCGTGTGGCTGTCAGCGATTACCTGGCGCTGTTCAAATTGCTTGCGAGACGATTAGAGGCTCACCAGCGGCGAATTAAAATTGTTTTGCGACTCGGGCGCGTGCCGGCCTGAGTAAACACCGCGCGCGATTCGATAACCGCTAAAAGTAGAAGTACCTATCGTGAAACGCCGTTCGATCGTGACCCCTTCTTGAAACAGTAGCATAAATGATACTATAGAAAATAAATAGAGTATATCGAAATGGATGTAAAAATTTTAACCGTATTTTGGAACACGTTTTGCTCGCCCAGATACCGTTATGTAACGATCGGCTGTAAAAATAAAATGTTTATGCGAGTACGAGTGTTTCTAAGGAACAACATACGGTTCCGTATTGAACACTTCAATTTTTTCATTGTCTCGTTTCGTAGGCTTTTCGCAGTCATAACGACGCTTGGATTAACAAACGTATCTAGTCGTTTCGTATCGATAGAAAGTCCTTACAATTGCAACAACTTTGACATAAAATGACAGTTATTTCCACTACGAATGGTCACGGGTCGCGTGAAATTCATTTGGCAAATTGTAAATATAGTTTCTGAACGTTATTATTCGAGTAAAAACTTCTTTACCATATTTTATATTTTTATATTTTTTATATTTCTTATATTTTTTATATTTCTTATATTATTATATTTTTCATATTTTTATATTCCTTATATTTTTATATTTTTTATATTTTTATTTTGTTCGTCTTCCAATGAAAACATTCAGTATGTCTTGTTCGTCGAATGCAATGATTAAAAAGCGAACAAACCAGGGGAACACAAAGAAATTTCATACGTTCTATCCGATAAATACAAAGTTAATCGCGCCCGAAAATAAACCAAGGACACGGCAACTGGTCTCACCGCACAGTAACCGGCGCCGCTACCCAACACGAAGCGGAAAGAACGAAAAAGAGGACAGTGCTTCGGCAACCGAGGAAATAAACGAGACTCTCGCCACACCCCCGCGAGCAACGTAGGGTAGAACGTCGAGAAAAAAGGCAGGCGAACTTCACAGTGGTGTCCCTGGGAGGTGGCACGGTGGTAGAGGCGAGAGAGCAGAGTTTCCCGGGGTACCATGTGGCTGACGAGGATTGTCTGCGCGTCTAGAGTTACCCAAGCCTGGTCTGGTGCCGCGAGGCCGCGGCACGAGAGTTAATTGGCTGGAAAACCTTGCTATCCGATACTCGACGCCCGGCTACTGTCCCGGGATACGTAAGCGTGTGTAATCCGTATTTTCATCTGCGCGCCTCTATCGTGGTTTCTGCGCTCCGCTCCGTTCTCCATCCTCTTCCCGCGTGTCCGGCCGCTCAAACGAAGAGAGAAGCGAGAGAGCAACAGCTCTAACTGTACTCGACGAGCGGCGTAGACACGGCACACACCGGAGGAGAAAAGCGCCCGCGCTCTGCTCCTTTCCTCCCGAGCCCGATTCCATTCTGATCCGTGGATCGCCGCGCGTCCTTCCCTCTCCGTCTTTCTTTCCCCTGTCGACCAGGAAAGATAGGTATTGTTGCGGGTGGTCCGTGGTGCACATTGTCAGACCGGCCACCAGGTAGTGTGCAGCGTTGCCGCTCGCAATGTTGCGAGCGTTCTCCCTCCTTTCTTTCTACCGATCCTTTTCCCTTCTTCCACCGGCCTCTTCTTCCTTCTCGGCCCCCTAGGACCTACTCCCGGCTCTTTATCGTCCTTCGATTTTTCGTTTCGAACGGCGGATTTCGTCGGCAAAGTTTGCCAATCGGTGGACGGTCCGTTCGCGGTTGCTTAACTCCTGTAGATTCATCGTTATCGGGGCCTGTTCGACCGCTCGTTGAAGATCTGGGTATGGTATAACGCTGACAACGCGTGTTTCCTGAATTGATAAACGATTTTCCGAATGGAATTATCACGGTCAAAACTATAGTATTTTCTAAACAGCGTCAACAAGAGAGACGGCAACTACGGAATGAAGTGTTCTAACTTTTTCCGATTCGTCTTCAAAATCGTATGTTCCTAGTTGCATGGCCAATTGTACATTGATTCGTCTTCGAGGAATGAAACTATAGCGTGTAAAGGCCACAATAATTGCACGTGCAAGAAAATTGAACATACCAGAAAATAATGTGTATTGCCACAAGGGTTAAGATATGGATGATAGGTAGAATGAAAATTGTGTGCGTTAATTGCAAGAGAGAAAGGGTCGTATAGACGACTATTTCTCTTTCAATGTATTTTATTTTTTATATTCAATGAATTTTAAATTCTTTCAATGTTTCCATTCGATTTTTATGGTAAATGCATAAAATCCGCAGTCCGATGATAAGTCTTTAAGCGGCCCTCTTCAATGTTCTTCTCTTTTTTGAGAAAATTTGTTTCTGCGGTGGAAGAAGAAGTCTCCTTCTCGAAAAAGCAGATATTAACGGCATCTCACGATTTTCCAGGGCAAAGCGGAAGGTCAAAGGTCTGCGGTGTGGATCAGGGCAAGGCTGCAGGATCAGCTGAGTCAGCTGGGCTACTTCCTGCAGAGGCACGCAGGCAAAGTCCTCTTCCTCGCGATCGTCGCTCTGGCTACGTTCTGTGTCGCCCTCAAGTCCGCTCAAGTTCACAGCAAGGTCGAGCAGCTCTGGGTTCAAGGTAAGTGCGTCATCGAACCGTTTCCTGTACTTCTTTCTCTCCGATGCATCGCTCCTTTCATCGAGCTTCATGAATTTTACGGAAACGATCTTTGCGCGGGAAAATTGTTTTTGGTCTGCGAAATCGTCCCGAAACGCCGTTGTCTTAGTTCGAACTGAACATCCTTCGTGATTTCATGGCTTTCCTTCTGATCTAGAAACCGTTCGAATCAACAAAATCGGAAGAACGAAGCTTTTCAGCCTTTGTAGTAGAATCGTGTATGCTGAGTAATAGCTGCGAATGCGAGAACGGAACTCGATGAGTGATTAAAGAACGTTGTAACATGACAGGGATTCAACGGTTCTATCAGTAATACTTCAGCACATCTGGTACGCAATGTATTTTATACAAACCGCGGTCTTCGGTTCATTCTGCGCGGTGTACAACACGGCTTATGTGTCCAACGTGACAGGAACATTATTCTCCTGGCTCTAACATGCCTTCCCCGCCCCCCAAATACTCGAAACTTTTGATTACTTCGCCGCTCGGAGAGAGGCTTTTCCGTTATGTCATTCTTTGCGCTAAAATTACTCCAAAATTCTAACCGAATAATTTTCTTGTTCAATTTCCTGTTGCTTTCTTTCGTCGTTGTTTTTATTCGTCGATAGATCGCGTTGATTCTAGCTGTTCTCGACGAGTATAGTCGTCACGAAGTAACGGCAATATTACTCGTCGAAAACAGCTGACTGTGATTAAGGATATATAATTTGAGATTCTTTATTAAATTATATATCTGATTAAAGTGTTCCGTTTAAACAACGTGCGAAGGAAATCGAACGTGTACAGTATAATTTATAGTAACCTAGACAATTTTCAAAGAGATTGCAACGTCTAACTGATGAAGCATTAAAAAGTAAGTTGAGATTGTAAACGCACGAAAAGTGGTTTTTTACACAAATACGAATTTTCATAAATTATTTTATTAACACTAAACCAATTCTGCAAAGTTCCGAGACTCTTTCATGGAAAACGCTTGAATAAGTTATATTATTGGAGCAAGTCTTGTAATAAAAGCTTTACAAATTCTAAATAAATCTGGTCTTCTCACTTTTGTGAAGCAATACATGCCAGTTAGTATTACTGCTTAATATTACTGTTAGTATTACTGCTTTAGTGTTAACCCCGTGACATACCATTTTCTTCGCAGTTACTGCGATTAGAAATTTTTCGAATGCAATAATTTCTTAGAAGGAAAAGAAAATTGATGCTTATTGTCTGTCTAAATTTATTTGAATGCCTAAATATCGATGACAAGGGATTAGAATTTTATTCCAATTTTAAAGGACAGAGAGTAACATCTGTACTCAATAAGTTAGGCAAGGAGTTAACGCCTGGATGAAGAACAAATTCGATTTATAAACAAGAAAATTCCTCATGGTTTTCCTTATGCGTTCTTGTATTCAAAAAATGCACGAACATCGGCAGTCTATTTATAACATCAACGAAGTATACCGAGAAACGCACACAACCGGAGCGAAATAATTTTTCTTTCAAAATGCCGCGAGCCATAATTATCGACGTCGAATTGCATATTTTTGGAGCGACGGGCGTGCTCGAAGAATAGTTTCAGGTGAAAAAATACTATCGGGCGAAGGAGGACGGCGAGAAGTCGGAACGGAGTGACAAAAGGAGGACAGAGAATTGAACGAAAGATCGCTTTACCCCCACGCCGGGCGCATGGTACATTAGTTTGCTCGCTGGGTGGCCCCTCTATATTTATCCGTGGTCCGAAACGCTAATTCGAACACCCCGTTGCTAACTTAAACTTGAAGCGTGCGGGTGAAATCGAAAGACGTCGGTTGGCTCGGTGTAATTGCACGAGGCAGATCTCGTTCAACTGAAAAAAAAAACAGACCAAACCGCCGAACCAAATCTACGATTAAAAAATTTACAGGGAATTTTGGAAAATTCTTTCGCAACGTGAATTGTTCGCGGTATATTTCTTGTGAACGTTTCCAATGCTCTGTCTCAAGATATACAGCAATTTCTCACTCGAAGTAATTTTTTAATCAATAAAGATAGCGGAACATGGAATAAACAGTTCGAGAAACACGTTGGCTACGGATCGTCGATGTGTCTAGTCTAAGATCGAAGCGGAGGTCGTCGGATTTCCTCGGCGCGCACTCGGCGACGCCAGATTCCAGAAGTATCAACGTATTATGAGATTTTAATGAGCAAACGAATTTGCGCGAGACCGCTCCGGACTAACGCTCGAGCGGTGTAATGATTCCGCTAAGCGTGATTAAATAAAATTCCGACGAAGTGTCGGCAAAAATTTGCATTCGCGATCATCTCGCCGGAAATCGTTAAAATATCATTGCGCCTCGCACGGGTGTCTAAGCGAACCGTAATCTCGTCAAATGCTTTCCTAGAAAATGTCTAAACTGGACCTCCGAGGAATGCGGATCGGTCAGCATCACCGTCTCGAAACCAGATCTCCAACATTGCTACAGTTCAGCCGCTTCAATCCATCATCATTTCCTGCTGCCTGAGTATACACCAATAATCTGCCAATTAACGTGTTTTCGGTGTAATTTTCTGATCATTCGAATCTTTGCATTGAACGTCATCTGTTCAGATTTTAGTTTGCTCGATTAAGGTTTAATTAGCATGCCGTTGTTTAAGTTAGGTTGCCATTTTTTAAACATTTTGAACAGATTTTACGGACCAGCCGTTTCGATCTATCAAAATTCTTCTGTTTCCAAACTCTGCTTCTTCCGTTGATGAGCAAATTAATCTTGTTCGGCACAATTTTCTCGTTTCGGTCGTTACCAGAGAAAAGCTTCTCAGCTGTGGTGTTTCCGAAGTTTCGTCCCTTTCTGTTTAAATTCTTGAGCTACATCTTTCTCGGTACTCAATTAACCAGTCAGTAGTTGCAATCTCTTTGAAAAGTGTGCAAGTTAATAATACATATTTTGTAATTATACGTATTACACGTATTACGTAATTATACATATTTTGTTTAAATAGAACACTTTTATAAAATATATAATTTAATGAAGAATATCAAAGTACATATATAGGTGGTGCGAATAATGTTTACATTTTTAGTGACATTTAAACAAAAACTTAACAAAACATCGGATACTTCTATCTTAGAAATAATAGAAAGTAGAGATGTACAAATGTAATTCTTTCTCTGGTTTTTGTTTAGATATCAGTAAAAATAAAGAAGTCACTTCGACTTTATAATTATTCGCAGCACCGTAGATGGCCTCCTTTGGCTGATACACTCTGTACATTCAAGTAAAACTTAACAAAACATCATATTTGTACATTTGCATCTATATATTAGGTTGGAAACTATGAAACGGGCGTTTTTGGTTAGTCTGTGTTCAACTGCGAGAGAGGTTCATTACAACGTGCGCTCGATATTTTGATTTATCAATTTTAAAGGTATTCTTCTTACTCGTTTTGTAAAATTTTTTCATGCTTGTGTTCCATTTTTATTTTATATTTCTCCGAAACCAGATCGAAACAGAACGCGATTTACATCTACTGTTTTTGTATGTGTACAAATTGAATCATAGCGCAGCTCAAAAAAGCTTCGAGAAACATTAATCAAGCTTTCGGAGATGGATCCAGCAATGAAAAAAATGCTCGATATTGGTCCCAAAAATTTCGTTCTGGCAATTTGAGCATCGTCGATGAGCCTCGAGGAAGACCACCGATCCGTATTGATAACGAGGAATTAAAGACGACTGTGGAACCCGATCCGGACACAACTATTCGTAAACTTGGGACTAACCTAGGAACTAGCCATACGGCTGTGTCGAAACATCTGCGTGCAATAAACAAAGTAAAAAAATTGGACTCGTATGCACCGCACGAACTGACGGAACTACCCAAAAACGCCCGTTTCATAGTTTCCAACTTAATAATTATGCACACCAGTTTTTCACAAGAATATTCGTCGAAAACAGCTAACTCGATAATCGTCTCGTTGTTCGAAGAAACGGGGTACCGTTTCCGGAAAAATAAGCAAAATCTTAAAACATTATCAAATCGTAAAGCCTGTTCGCTCGAAAAAGGCGTGAATGTTCTCTCGATGATCAAGTGACAGTTCGGAAATAATTCTAATCAAAAACGCCCGTTTCATAGTTTCCAACCTAATAATTATGCACACCACTTTTTCACAAGAATATTCGCCGAAAACAGCTAACTGAATAATCGTTTCGTTGTTCGAATAAACTGGGTACCGTTTCCGGAAAAATAACCAAAATCTTAAAACATTATCAAATCGTAAAGTCTGTTCGATCGAAAAAGGCGCGAATGTTCTCTCGATGATCAAGTGACAGTTCGGAAATGATTCTAATCAAAAACGCCCGTTTCATAGTTTCCAACCTAATAATTATGCACGCCACTTTTTCACAAGAATATTCGTCAAAAACAGCCGTTTCCGGAAAAATAAGCAAAATCTTAAACATTATCAAGTCTGTTCGATCGAAAGAGGCGTGAATGTTCTTTCGATGATCAAGTGGCAGTTCGGAAATTGCCTGGATGCTGCCGAGTGGTGCATCTGGTTAAAAATACTAGTTGGGGGTTAAAGGGCCGGTGCAGGGATCGTTGTTCCCTGATTCACTCGCCTCACGTGGCCGCGGCGGCGCGCGGCCCGGCGCGGTGCGGCGCGGCGCGGCGCCGAGGGACAGGCGAAAGAAGAAGAGGGCTCTTTCGAGATGGTGATTCGAGATGCGTGCGCCACGCGGATCGGTACCGGATATCCGTGAGGTGACTGCGGCCGTGTCCGTGGCGGGATATGCGGGCTCAGTGTTCCCTCGCAGCACTCTCTCGCGGAACTCTCTCGGTGCACGCTGCGCTCGGAACACTCGCGGCCGAGGGCCGGGAGGACGATCAGGCGTAAAAGAACGGCTGCGGGGCGGAACGCGGCGACGATTGCATCGCGGGATGGAGAGGAATTTAACTTTACGACTTGACGGCGGCGGTGCGCGATTTGACGATAT